AGAGAGAGAGAGAGAGAGAGAGAGAGAGAAGATCCCACCTTTGTCGCTCTCTCCTGTGGTGTGACGTGAGGTTTCTTCTTGCGAGTCCTGCTCTTGGAGCCCGGTCCAGCCATGGGGCTCTGAGAAGAGAGACAGCTGCCTGGTTAGATTATTCATCGAGTTATCTCCTTTTTAAAGGTTATATTCATCGAGTTATATCTCCTTTTTAAAGGTTATATTCATCGAGTTATATCTCCTTTTTAAAGGTTATATTCATCGAGTTATATCTCCTTTTTAATGGTTATACGGGGTGCCCACTACGGACGGGATCGGCGGATCGGGCCGATCGCCCAACACGATCGCTTCAAAAACAAACGTGTTTGTTTTCAGTTTCAGGCGATCGAGTCGGGCGATCGGCCCGATCCAGCCGTAGTGGGCACCCCGTATTAGATTCAACGACCGATTTGTACTTGTTGTGGGGGAGTTACTCTGTCTGATGCTCCTGTTGTTTGGTTCCTTTACATTGGGTTGTTTTGATGGTTTGGTTCGTTTGTTGTTGTAGTTTTTTAATTGTTTCGTGGTTGGATTGCTTTGTTGTTTGTTTGTTTTTTTTGTTTTTTTTTGGTTTCTTTCGTGGTTGTTGTTTTGTTGATTTTGTTTTGTTGTTGTTGGGGGTTTTTTTTTTTTTTTTTTGTTACTTTGGTTTGTTTCGGGGTTGACTTTATTTTCATTGTAATTTTTGTACCTGTATTGCTTTGCCTTTTGTTTTGGATTGCGTTTTGTTTGGATTTGTCTGGGGTTGTTTTTTGTTTGTTTGTTGTTGTTGTTGTTTGTTTTGGGGTGTTGTTGCCTTGTTTGAAACAAAAAGACAAAGATAAACATAACAAAGTTAACATAGAAATAATTTCACTCAGGCAACATTGTCGCGGGTGGTTGGAGGGCGCCACTGGTACGTCCCACTTCTGTTCTTCCCTTTAAATATACTTTCTTTCCGTCAAAAAAAAAAAAAAATAAATAAATAAAAACTTTTTAAAAAACTTTTTTAAAATAAATATATTATATATATATATATATATCTTGCTTTTAACCCCTGCATCAAATCACCGCTATTTTGTGGAGTTGTTTCTCTTTACTCGAACTAACACCTGCCCGTTATGGTCACAAGTGACTCACAAGCCACAGCTCTGTGAGCCCGTCTTAAGGCTACGAACAGATTCAGAAGGTCCACTGTGTTCATGCTAGTCAGAGACTGAATCATAAATCTATGACACACACGCATTGGAACTTTTTTTTTTTATTATATTTTTTTTAAAAACAAGAACAAAAAACAAAAAACAAAAAACAAAACAAAAACGGAAAAAACTGCGGAGAGGTTGAATAGGAGCAGGTTCTGACACTGGTGCCATTCATTCATTCATTTACGAAAATCGATCGAAAATCGATCAATTGCGACGAGTGGTTTCCCCCGCTCCGAGAGCTGCAGGA